AACAGTCAACCATTTATATTCGTTATTGACCATTGAGAGGCCCTACCGTTTACAGTACTAATTGTAACAGAGATCCACGAACAAAGAATACTTACTGGTAAATTGTTCTGAATCCACCGAGAGTTTATGTTCCTTGGACTATGCGCATAGGCAGTCGAGATATCGTATCTCCCCTTTTCCTCCTAACATAGACTAATTTACCAGTTAATAGTAAGAATCATGATTGACGCTGATAAGAGTCACTATGAGAACTTCCACGCAGCCACGAGGCTTATGTACATCGACGGTGGGTAAGGAAGGAAATCTGACGACACTTATTATCGACGAGAATGTCAGCCATCTCCACGGAATTGGAGGGCTAGAATCCGTTACTTGCAGTTATTAATTGGTCAGATTCTCCGGTAACAGTAAGACTCGATGACTTCAGTAAGTTTAGTAACTATCTGAAAGTGGTTGTGTCGGCCGTTAATAATGATCTTAAAAATGATGTTTTCGCCACCGTATACAGGTTTGCGCCTGACTGAACGCTTACCTCAAAACAATTGCGAATCGTGATTCCGGCATAGAACTGATGCACGAAGCTGAGGCGTTCCGCCAGTAATGGAAATCTGTCAAAAACATACAAAATTTCGAACGCAAGTATCTCCCTCATTATATATGCCATCCATATGAATTTTTTTTATCTCTCTTATTGTTTCTTGCTCTAAAACTTTTGTAGTCAAGTTTTTTCTGTATCGTTTAAAATGGTCAAGATAATTTGTATTATTTGCAAACGAAAGTTAAACGAACAGTAATAATATGACCATTCGATGGACAATCAAAAATTGTTCAATAGTCGTCACATCAGATTTTCAAAATTGTCCACCGTTTAACCGCAAATATCAAACGTGCCTATTACCTCATACACTCTGTATATTTCTTAGGTTTCTTACTAGGAACTCTGTCCCAAAGGCCGGCTCTTTGCAAGCGATTCTTGACTGCGATTGGTGATACTTTTTTGTTTTCATGAGCTTCGTGGAACCGCGTTTGGATTTCCAATGCAGTAAGCTTCCTATGCACTTTGGACCCTATTACCAAAGATTGGTCCTCTGTTTTGGAAATGACTGGAGGCCTCCTACTTCGCGCGTTGTCATTAGAATTTGTTCTCCGGAAAGGAGTGATACCATCTCTCAAAGCAGACCGCGATATTTTCACAATTTTGGCAACACAAAGTAGACGAGTGCAGGTGGATATACACTTTCCTACAGATAAATCGTGAACACGACTTAACCGAATGCTGCCCAAAGAAGACTGGCGCAAAAAGGTTTGAGGTGCAGGTGTACGTCAGGAGCGAAAAGTTTTCGACGACATAAATTTTATGAAAAATTTACTGACGTCTTTCTTTTTCATTATTTCGAAGGTGGTCTGAAATATAAACACTTTCAATGTCATATATGATTTTATGATCATCACTCGCATCTGAACCAATAGTACGCGATTGTGCAAACAATAGTTCGCGATGGCCAAATTTTATTGCTGAACGTAACCAAAAAGGAGTTATCAATGAGATATAAACCAGATAATCATTGGTAGCGGTTTTAAAAATCGTCCCACTAGACGTGAGCTGCAAACTATATAGCATCTAAGTAGATTATTTTACTATTCATACAACTGTAATAAGTACAATGATTTTTATTATACATATCTATATTTTATGAATTCCTGTAGATAGGAAAAATCGAGTGATACAATTATTATAGGATTTAAGGTGGTAGAATGGTAGAGTTCAGCTGAAGTCAAATCAATAACCATAAATAATTTGTAAAAGTCGATAAAAGAAATAGAAAAATATATTGAAAATGTGAATTTAATGTTGACAAATAACGTTTATTTTCATAAATAAATCATAATGCTAAATACAGTGATTTAGTGAATTTGAACGCAACTGGCAAATTACGAATTCTTCTTTATCACTCCTCGTCATGCTTAATCGCATGTACATTGAGATGAAGCAGAGTTACTTGGTTAATATTAGTGAAGTACAACTTGGAACATTCTAGAAAATCTTGCCAGGACCACAAAAGACGCAGAATTCTAGAAACAGCGTGACACTATCGTACGGCCCACCTCAGTTTTTCATACATGGGCCATTAAAAAATCATAGAAATTTGAAAGACGCAAGAAATTACAACATTCTATCAGTTGTACCAGAACAGCCTGACATGTATTTCCACGTCTGCTTCTTAACATTAGATTGCTAACTCTAGTTAATTCCTTGCTAGATATTGATTATGTACACGTGTTGGAATACGATTTAGCTGCGCAAATTGTATAAACAGCTGAATGATAAAATAAAAGCAGTACATAAACGATCCAATCGGTATATATAAGAAAAACGTGACCTGCTGAAACTCAACTATTGCAACAATGGTGACATCGGCATCTAGACGCTTGGCTGTCGCCATATTCGCTATCATAGCCGGGCTGGTTCTCCAGGTTGACGGTGAGAAGCAATGGTGGCGAACAACAACTATCTACCAGATTTGGCCGCGATCCTTTAAGGACAGTGATGGAGACGGAATTGGCGATTTGAATGGTAAGTAGGACGTACAGAATTAAATTCTAAGCGACGTCACTGTGATGTCAATCAGTCTAAACGTCATCAGGTATCACAAGCAAACTGGAACATCTAAACGACATGGGAATAGAGACACTATGGATATCGCCAATTTTCAAAAGTCCACTAGTCGACAGTGGCTACGACGTCTCCGACTACTTAGCCATAGACCCAATGTATGGGACTTTGGAGGACTTTGACAATCTAGTAGCTCGCGCCAAGGAACTTGGAATCAAAGTGGTTCTGGACTACGTTCCTAACCATACCAGTACGGAACACGAGTGGTTTAAGTTATCCGAAGCCAGTGTCGACCCCTATACCGATTATTACATGTGGCACGAGGGAATTCTGGATGCAAACGGTACCAGAAGACCACCAAACAATTGGTTGAGCGTCTTCAACAGCGGAAGTGCTTGGCAATGGAGCGACAAGCGACAGGCTTACTATCTTCATCAATTTGATGTAAGCCAGGCAGATTTGGACTTCAGGAATGAAGTAGTCATTGAGGAAACCAAAGTGAGTCATGGTTACTAGTGAATAATGAATAATCAATAATGTAGTTCCGTAACTCATTAAATTGCTTCCCCACTAGAAAATTATTACGTACTGGCTGGATCGCGGTGCTGCCGGTTTACGTATAGATGCACTGCCATTTATGTATGAGGATGTTGAATTAAGAGATCAACCATTATCAGGAAGAAACGTACCTCCTACTGACTATTTCTACCGACTCCCTATCTACACCAAGGATTTGATTGAGGATTATGAACTTGTTCAGATATGGAGAGATCACTTTGATGAATATAATGCAAAGGCCAATGATGGTCTAGAGCGCGTCATCATTACCGAGGCAGTCGCGAATGCATCCTTGATGTGTTTATACTATAATTACGGCTCTGATATCCCGTTCAATTTTCTCTTTGTTACAAACAGCGGTATTCCCGTCGATGCCAAAACTTTGTCACCTGCAGAAATCAAGAATAAGATTGATCAATGGCTCGAGTACATGCCTGAAGGTGAAACACCTAACTGGGTCGTAAGTTTGAAATACACTTTTGTGCTGTGATAATTATAATATACTATGTAAAAATTTCAATTAACAGCTCGTTAATCTGTTACCAGCTTGGCAATCATGACAAAAATCGCATGGCCACGCGTTTCGGCTCCGAGAAGATAGATATGCTAAACTTCATTTTTCTCTTATTACCTGGCGTCATGACAGTTTACAATGGTGACGAGATCGGCATGCCAAATACGTATCTAACTTGGGAGGAAACAGAAGATCCTCAAGCCTGCAGCACTGATCCTCAGCGTTATCAGCCATATTCTAGGGATCCTGAGCGCACGCCTTTTCAATGGGATGATTCTACGTCAGCAGGTGGGTAATCGGTTGTAGGTTCAGTTACATTACTGTCACGTGGAATATACCTGAATGTTATTTTCATTTTATCAGGATTCTCTACGAACACCACGGTGTACTTGAAAGTGAACGAGAATTATCGTACACTGAATTTAGCGGCGCAAAAGGCTGCTGATAAGAGTTACTATAAGAACTTCCAGGCAGCCATGAGGCTCAGGAACACGACGGTGGCCAAAGATGGAGACCTGAAGACACTCGTTATCGGCGAGCATGTCTTCGCCATGTCCAGAGAATTGGATTGTCACGACCCCCTACTCGTTGTTATTAACTGGTCGAAGTCTCCGGTAACAGTCAGTCTTGATGACTTCAGTAACTTCAGTGAGAAGCTGCAAGTGCTTCTGTCGGATGTTAATAATGATCTCAAAGTTGGGTGAGTGATTAGGAAATCCAAAATGTTGTCATTCCTTTATCGGCTGAACAATGCCTTCATTACATTATTTATTTTATTCTTCCAGAGACACTGTATCCAGGAGCAGCATTACCTTGCAGGGTAATGCAGCTTTGGTCTTAACGTCATCTGACATCACTTGCTCCGACTACTCGGACGTCTCAGAAGTTGCCTGTCTAATAACATCCTTGAAATCCTTCTTCAACGTGTAAATCAAATTGAAATTTGATAAGGAAATTTAATAAGCGTTGGTTAACAATGTGCTCAAAAATTGAATTCACAGTAGCTAAAATTTAACTATCTATTTCTCACAAATTCCAGGTGCTACGTAAATGGAATAATATAGTTTTATGATAAGCACACTGAGCGAGTGGAATTATTGGTGATTATTGTGATCGGATTGTAACTTCCTACTTCGACTTAATGAAAAATAGTGCGTGCCCAACTGAATTCTCTACTACAACTGTTGGCTCGTTGTAAAAATAACGGTTCAATTTCATTCAAATGTGTTTCCAAGTATAGGCTATGATAGAAGTTAGTCCATGTTGAGCGACCAGAGTTTTCGGACAAGGCCGACACCGCCTGATGGATCTGTTCCAGTGTTTCAAACGTGCGTTCGGTATTACAGAATATAACGGTGGCCTAGAGCATGTCATCTTTACCGAGGATTATAGCAACATATCCGTGATCACTTTATATCATCATTAGGGTGCTCACATCCCATTCGATTACTTCCTTATCAGAATGGCCGGTACCACCTTTACGGCTGAAAACCAGAGCCCTGCAAGCATCAAGAGCATCACTGATGAACGGCTTGAGAATTTATCTGAAGCTGGATGACCCAAGTGGGTCGTAATTTTGAATACATTTTTGTGCTGTTATGATTTTATTTTGTTATGTAACATTAAAGATTCAAAATATTCGCGCGCTAAATGGGCATTAGTCCCCGCAAATCGGAGAGCGACGCTCGACTAGTTCCGGGCGACGATAGGCGCTTACGACTACTTAACACGATTGGCCAACGGCTCACGAAGTGTCACGGAAACGACCGAACTTTGGCGTAGGAGTGGGGAGGAGCAATGAACGACGTAGAAAGAAACGGGGACGGCCGAGGAAGAGAACGGCGTGTCGGCAACGGAATCGGACGGGATCCCAGCCATCGAGTCTGATCGAGATAACGAAATCTATGGATCATGTCCACCGAAGAACGGGGATGCGAGACAGGTTAATATTACGATTACTAAAGATAAACACTGCGAGATACGAAAGTACGTCGCAAGACGTAAAAGTCGAAGCGAAGCGCGCAGTACAGACGGGGTTCACCAGGTGGCCGCGTTTTCATTGTGATACTCGTTGCGCGAGACTGTTCAATTAATATACGAACAGTCAACCATTTATATTCGTTATTGACCATTGAGAGGCCCTACCGTTTACAGTACTAATTGTAACAGAGATCCACGAACAAAGAATACTTACTGGTAAATTGTTCTGAATCCACCGAGAGTTTATGTTCCTTGGACTATGCGCATAGGCAGTCGAGATATCGTATCTCCCCTTTTCCTCCTAACATAGACTAATTTACCAGTTAATAGTAAGAATCGTGATCGACGCTGATAAGAGTCACTATAAGAACTTCCAGGCAGCCGCGAAGCTCAGGAACATCGACGGTGGGTAAGGAAGGAAATCTGACGACACTTGTTATCGACGAGAATGTCAGCCATCTCGAAGGAATTTGGAGGGCTAGAATCCGTTACTTGCAGTTATTAATTGGTCAGATTCTCCGGTAACAGTAAGACTCGATGACTTCAGTAAGTTTAGTAACTATCTGAAAGTGGTTGTGTCGGCCGTTAATAATGATCTTAAAAATGATGTTTTCGCCACCGTATACAGGTTTGCGCCTGACTGAACGCTTACCTCAAAACAATTGCGAATCGTGATTCCGGCATAGAACTGCTGCACGAAGCTGAGACGTTCCGCCAGTAACGGAAATCTGTCAAAAACATACAAAATTTCGAACGCAAGTATCTCCCTTATTATATATGCCATCCATATGAATTTTTTTATCTCTCTTATTGTTTCTTGCTCTAAAACTTTTGTAGTCAAGTTTTTTCTATATCGTTTCAAATGGTCAAGATAATTTTTATTATTTGCAAACGAGAGTTAAACGAACAGTAATAATATCCCTATTCGATGGACAATCAAGAATTGTTCAATAGTGGTCACATCAGATTTTCAATATTGTCCACCGTTTAACCGCAAATATCAAACGTGCTTATTACCTATATTTCTTAGGTTTCTTAGAAGGAACTTTGTCCCAAAGGCCGGCTCTTTGCAAGCGATTCTTGACTGTGATTGGTGATACTTTTTTGTTTTCATGAGCTTCGTGGAACCGCGTTTGGATTTCCAATGCAGTTACTAGCTTCCTATGCACTTTGGACCCTATTACCAAAGATTGGTCCTCTGTTTTGGAAATGACTGGAGGCCTCCTACTTCGCGCGTTGTTCCTATTAGAATTTGTTCTCCGGAAGAGAGTGATACCATCTCTCAAAGCAGACCGCGATATTTTCACAATTTTGGCAACACAACGTAGACGGGTGCAGGTGGATATACGCTTTCCTACAGATAAATCGTGAACACGACTTAACCGAATGCTGCCCAAAGAAGACTGGCGCAAAAAGGTTTGAGGCGCAGGTATAGGTCCGGAGCGAAAATTTTTGTACGACATAAATTTGATGAAAAATTTACTGACGTCTTTCTTTTTCATTATTTTATTTTTCATTAAATATTTTCAATGTCATATATGATTTTATGATCATCACTCGCACATGAACCAATAGTACGCGATTGTGCAAACAATAGTTCGCGATGGCCAAATTTTATTGCTGAACGTAACCAAAAAGGAGTTATCAATGAGATATAAACCAGATAATCATTGGTAGCGGATTTAAAAATCGTCCCACTGTAGGAGACGTGAGCTGCAAACTATATAGCATCTAAGTAGATTACTTTACTATTCGTACAACTGTAATAAGTACAATGATTTTTATTATACATATCTATATTTTATGAATTGCTATAGATAGGAAAAATCGAGTGATACAATTATTATAGGATTTAAGGTGGTAAAATGGTAGAGTTTGACTGAAGTCAAATCAATAGGCATAAATAATTTGTAAAAATCGATAAAAGAAATAGAACAATATATTGAAAATGTCGGATATAGTAATAGAGTAAGGTAGAGGTGGTGGGGTGTTTCCAAGTATTCTGGAATGTCCCAAGGTGGGCGATCGGGGAGGACCCAGCAGCTGCAGTAGTAGGGGCTTCGAAGTCCAGAAGAGTCTAGAAGGACCAAGGAGTGGGGAGGGAAAAAGAGTGAGGGACGTCATAGTGATAGGAGGAAAGAAGGCGAGAGTAGTTAATGTGTGCGGAAAAAGAGGAAAACGAAAAGGAGATACGTCGTAGTATTCTTTGATGCTCAATATTATTTTTTCCTTTAATAAAGAAATGTTAGATTTTACAAGAAAATAATTGCTTGTATTATTCAATCCCTACAAAATTGCGAATTTAATGCTGACAAATAACGTTTATTTTTATAAATAAATCATAATGTTAAATAGAGTGATTTAGTGAATTTGAACGCAACTGGCAAATTACGAATTCTTGTTTATCACTCCTCGTCATGCTTAATCGCATGTACATTCAGACGAAGCAGAGTTACTTGGTTAATATTAGTGAAGTACAACTTGGAACATTCTAGAAAATCTTGCCAGGACCACAAAAGACGCAGAATTCTAGATACAGCGTGACACTTCACGCCTTTTCAATGGGATGATTCTACGTCAGCAGGTGGGTAATCGGTTGCAGGTAGAATTATTTATTATTATTTATTATTATTTTTAAGTGATATATAGTTCGATTAATTTATTTTTTTTAGGATTCTCTACAAATTCCACCACGTTTTTGCCGGTGAACACAAATTATCGTACAGTGAATTTAGCGGCGCAAAAGGCTGCTGATAAGAGTCACTATAAGAACTTCCAGGCAGCCATGAGGCTCAGGAACACGACGGTGGCCAAAGATGGAGCCCTGAAGACACTCGTTATCGGCGAGGATGTCTTCGCCATGTCCAGAGAATTGGATGGTCACGACCCCCTACTCGTTGTTATTAACTGGTCGAAGTCTCCGGTAACAGTCAGTCTTGATGAGTTTAGTAACTTCAGTGAGAAGCTGCAAGTGCTTCTGTCGGATGTTAATAATGATCTCAAAGTTGGGTGAGTGATTAGGAAATTCAAAATGTTGTCAGTCCTTTGTCGGCTGAACAATGCCTTCATTAAATTATTTATTTTATTCTTCCAGAGACACTGTATCCAGGAGCAGCATTACCTTGCAGGGAAATGCAGCTTTGGTATTAACATCATCTGACATCACTTGCTCCGACTACTCGGACGTCTCAGAAGTTGCCTGTCTAATAACATCCTTGAAATCCTTCTTCAACGTGTAAATCAAATTGAAATTTGATAAGGAAATTTAATAAACGTTCTTTAACAATGTGTTCAAAAATTATATTCACAGTAGCTAACATTTAACTACCTATTTTCACAGATGTCAGATTCTACCTAAATGCAGTAACACAGTTTTATGATAATACACGGTGACTTATAAAGTAACTATACCTGTGCAGAACAATCCAAGTTCCACTAGCTAAAACCTGCACCAGAAAGCACACTCAGCGAGTGGAATTATTAATGATTATTCTGATCAGATTGTAACTTCCTGCTTCGACTCAATGAAAAATAGTGCGTGCCCAACTGAATTCTCTACTACAACTGTTGGCTCTTTGTAAAAATAACGGTTCAATTTCATTCAAATGTGTTTCCAAGTATAGGCTATGATAGAAGTTAGTCCATGTTGAGCGACCAGAGTTTTCGGACAAGGCCGACACCGCCTGATGGATCTGTTCCAGTGTTTCAAACGTGCGTTCGGTATTACAGAATATAACGGTGGCCTAGAGCATGTCATCTTTACCGAGGATTATAGCAACATATCCGTAATCACTTTACACTATTATTATGGTGCTCACATCCCATTCAACTTCTTCCTTATCAGAAAGACCGGTATCACCTTTAGGGCTGAAAATCAGAGCAGCGCAAACATCAAGAGTACCATTTATGCATGGCTTGAGAATATGCTTGAAGCTGGATGATGCAACTGGGTCGAAAGTTTGAAATACCTTTTCGTGCTGTTATGATTTTATTTTGTTATGTAATATTAAAGATTCAAAATATTCGCGCGCTAAACAGGCATTAGTCCCTGCAAATCGGAGAGCGACGCTCGACTATCTGCGGGCGACGATAGGCCCGTACGATCGGGTGAACACGCGATTGGCCAACGGCTCACGAAGTGTGACGGAAACGACCGAACTTTGGCGTAGGAGTGGGGAGGAACAATGAACGACGTAGAAAGAAACGGGAACGGCCGAGGAAGAGAATGGCGTGTCGGCAATGGAATCGGACGGGATCCCAGCCATCGAGTCTGATCGAGTTAACGAAATCTATGGATCATGTCCACCGTAGAACGGGGATGCGAGACAGGTTAGTATTACGATTATCAACGACAAACACTGCGAGATACGAAAGTACGTCGCAAGACGTAAAAGTCGAGGCGAAGCGCGCAGTAGAGACGGGGTTGACCATGTGGCCACGATTTCATTGTGATACTCGTTGCGCGAGACTGTTCAATTAATATACGAACAGTTAACCATTTATATTCGTTATTGACCATTGAGAGGCCCTACCGTTTATAGTACTAATTGTATCAGAGATCCACGAACAAAGAATACTTACTGCTAAATTGTTCTGAATCCACCGAGAGTTTATGTTCCTTG